TATATATAATTTTTGAAAAAACTTCATGGAGGACATGGGACTTCATCTAAGATCTGGACAGGTCAAGGATAAGAGAAAGGTATTCCAGGGAAGAAAAACTACATGGACAAAAACGCAGGCAAGGTGGAACTCATTGTAACACACAATTCCCTGGGTTTCTCAACTAGCAAGTGATAACCAGGAAAAAAGGATAGAAGGTTGGCATTTTCATGCATGTTGGCCATAAACTATCAGATACAAATTATATGTGAATGAACTTGCTTTTTAGGAAGACCCAAAAGTCACAAGATGATGGTCTAGCAGCAATTTGGCCCAAACGCATGCTTTGCCTGCCCTCCTTTCCCCCCCTTTGGCTGACTATCTCTCTAGATAGCTCAGGCTGGCCTGAACCTGCAGTGATCCTCCTGCCTCGGCCTCTCGAGTGCTGGGATTCCAGGTGTGCACCGCCATGCCCTGTACCCTTCAAATTTTTAAAAACTTAGTTAGAATACCTTTTCTTAGTTCAGCTACTGCCCTTAGCATCTATTATTTTCTCCATATCCCTTGTTTTACTGCCTGGTTACTAACAACATTTGAGGCCGACATCCCTGATTTCAGTCATAACATTCACACACGGGGGAACGCGCTTGGAGACAGTGCAGGGCTGGCACTCACTGCCTGCCAATTTTTGCTCCTGGCAGGAAGATCTGAGGCCCCAAAGTCAAGGATGACACAGCAGACTTGAGCCAGAGCACTTTACCTCTTAATAAGACTCTCAGAGTGGGGGATCAATGAGCTCCAATTTCTTAGGGAGCACCCATGAATTCTTCCCACCCAGGAAAGAGACTCCTCAAGCTCCATTCTGATCACAGCAGTGTCAAGATGCACAACCTCTGAATAAGGAAGAACATGGACGTGACTAAAAGTCGCTACCCACCGGGAAGTGGCTCTGGGACATACTGGAGCGCGAGCTTCATTTCGCCTCTGTTCTCTGCCTCAAGGGCAACCAGTGCTGTCTGAAAAACAGGAATGTCAGTGGTTGTGAGACTCAGACCTATACAAGTCTAGTTCATGGGTATTCTGTTACAGAACCGTCAGGCCATTTCTGGGACGATGTATCATTTGCGAGTGTCCTGAATTCAAAATTACCTCTGTGTCAGAGACAGGCTGTTGTCTTTACAACTGGAAAAGCAATGTTGTATATCTTAGGAAGACTCACAGGGTGCTTAAAAAATATCTCAAGGTTTTCAGTCTCAAAAATGGTCGAGAAATCAGAATGTTTTGCTTTGAGATGCAAAAGGTGTCTCCAAAATGTTCACTTTTGTCAGGACGTGCACATTTTCTTGGTCATTCAGCCAGGGAACCATCTTGTTTCTTCAAAGCTGTGCTAACCTAACTGTTAGAGACTTATTGCATAGGAGTCTGTAAGAATTATGAAGACCGGATAATAACTTAAAAATACGTATGCTACTTTCAGGCATACGAGAGATGGTCTTACATTCAAACTCTGGTCAGTGAGGGCCTTGATTCCAAAGGGGTGTGATCAGAAACCTAATGGAGGCTGCTTAAAAGCAAGATGTCTGTGGTGGTTAAGGGGGCGAATCCTCCTGACCGGCTTTGGAACCTGGTCCGGGCGTGTCTGAGTGGGCCCTGGGGTGTGGCCTTGGGGCTACTCTAGACCCTTCCTTGCCAGGACTGCTCTCCTGCGCTGCCTTTCAGCCACCGCCTGCATCTTGGCTGTCAGGCCCTTCCATGAGGACATCTCTGCCTCGGAGCCAGCTGACTGAGCTAAATCTCTAGAAGCCGTGAGTGACTCAGACTAACCCTCCACTCCTGCAAGCTGCGGGTGTCGGGTCTGTGTGCCTGCAGGTCAAGCAGCTGCAGGAAGCGGCGAGAACGACAGGCTGGGCTGGAAGTGAGGCGGAGTGTTTTGAGGGCGATTAGTGGCAATTTGTCTTTTATTGCGATAAATGGTTTTAAATGGTTTCATATTCACTATGCTTTTTGATCACACTGCAGACACACCACATTTGTTTGTACGTATCACTTCTAGCTGGGACGAAGCCCACCCAGACACTGAGAAAAAGTAAAAATGCAGTATTAAAATAATCAATTCAAAGATGTTAAAGAATTACTGAAACCGAAAAAGATTCGAATGGACAAGTTGTTTTTGTTTGTTTCTTCAATAGGGCCTTGCGCTGTACTTCAGGCTGCTTTGAGTTCACAGCGTCCTCCTGCCTCAGCCTCCCAAGCACTGGGCTAGCTAAAGGGAAAAGATCGCAGAGCCTAGCATTCTTCTCTGATTCTCACTCTGAAACCTCAGCTCCTCTTTTCCTAGTGCCAAACCAAGACGTAAACGCCCAGCTAAGCGACACTGGCAGGCTGAGCAGGGCCTTCGGTGGTCTCACGGGGCTGGGGAACAACCTTAGAATCCACGGCCCACTCAGGAGCAACACTGCTGGAAAACTGCCCTACGTCAGTAGTTTCAAAGCATGGTCTCGAGCTCAGCAGCATCCATGCTGCCTGGAGCTTGAAAGACATGCGTGCTCTTGCATAGACCCAGAGCTGACTGGACCAGAAACCTCGAGGGCTGGGCCGCAGAACCTGAGTTTCGCCCAGTCCTTCTGATGCACAGATACATTCTAAAACTTCAGAACCACTTCCTAGGCTTTCAGCTGAGATCCGAAAGAGCCGCAGCCTAGAAATTCCAGCAAATAAGACGAGGCCAGAAAACTGCATCTGTCCTTCAAGTCAGCTCATTCCCAGAAGAGGTTAGGGTGGTCTCATTCCCAGAAGAGGCTAGGGTGGTCTCATTCCCAGAAGAGGTTAGGGTGGTCTCATTCCCAGAAGAGGCTAGGGTGGTCTCATTCCCAGAAGAGGTTAGGGTGGTCTCATTCCCAGAAGAGGAGGCTAGGGTGGTCTCATTCCCAGAAGAGGTTAGGGTGGTCGGTTCTGTTCTCTTAGGAGAACAGAACCAGTAATCCCTTGAGTTTTCTCACATACAATGAACGATAAGCAGCCCCACTAAGACCAAGGACCAAGTGATCAAACTAGGATTTAAGAAGAAATAGAGAAGAGACTCACAAATGACTATTAAAATGTGAAGCTACACACTTTTAATAACTGTGATGGCTAGGTTATTTATTTATTTACATTTTAGAGACAAGGTCCCTTTATATAGTAAAGGCTGGCTTGAACTTGCTGTGTAGCCAAAGGTTGCCCCAAACTCATGGCTATCCTCCTGCTTCAGCCTCCTGAGTACTGGGATTACAGGGAGGTACCACTGCGCCTCGCTGTGACTACAGTGTTTACAAAGATAATGTTCTAGAGAGAAATGAAAGCAAAATGGAGTTGAATGAAGATATTCATACAAACACATAAATTTTATATTGAAGCTGAGCTTAAACTGCAGATTAGAAGAAGGTTAAATTGCTAAACTGAAAGACAGTTTAGGAAAAACTAGTCTGAAGCATAAAGAAAAAAATATACAATATAGAAATGAGATGAGTTACATGGTAGAGTGTTCATGTAATTAGAAGTTCCAGAAAGGCTTGGAAAAATGTGGAGAAAATCAGTTTTTGAAGGAAGAACTTCTGAGAGATCTTCAAAGTTAATGAAAGATACCAAGATCCAGATGCAAGAAGCTCAGTAAACACAAAACATGATAGATACAAAGAAAACTACACTTGCATTCATAACAAATCTAAGGGGCTGGGGAGATGCTCAGTAGAATAAGCGCTTCCCTGGCAAGCGCAAAGGCCTGAGTTCAATCCCCAGTTCTGCCAAAAAAAACCAAAAAAAAAAACCAAACTACTGCCTATAAGAAACATATCTTAACTGTAAGGGTTCAAAAAGTTTGAAAATTAAGGGACTGAAACAAACTACAACTGTGTAGAAGCTGACACAGCTATACTAATGCGGACAAAATAGACTTTAAGGTAAGAAATATTACTAGAGATAAAAAGCATATTTTTGAATGACAAAACTGTTAATCTATCAGAATAAAACAATTTTTTTTTGTATTTAGTATAAAGTCTAAAGAGTCTTGCTACACAGATCAGCTTTGTAGTGATCCTCTTGTTTTCAGCCTACCCAAGCTCTGGGATTACAGGCAGGTGCCACCATGCCCAGTCTCATTCATTGTCTCAGTGTGACCCGGGGGTGGGGCTGACACAGCATGCTGGGGATCAAACCCTGGTCCCTGCATCTACCTAAGCAGGTGCTTTAATCCACTGAGCTATCTGGCTAGCCCAAAACAATTCTCAATATGTATATACTTCGTAAGATAACCTCAAGATAAACAAATAACAAACTAAAAGACAACCAGTTAAATCCATAATCATATCTCTCTTAGTAATTCAGAGTACACACAGACATAAAATCAGAAAGGATATAGAAGATTTTATTAGCCGTTGACTTAATTGATACAGATCGTTATACCCAACATTACTCTCTTCTCAGGTGGCACAGAACACTTATCAAAATCTGACCACACGTCAGGCTTCAAGTATGTCTCGCACTTCAAAGGACTGAAGTACGTAAACGACCTTCCTGCAATCTCAGACACATATATGCTAGGTGGTTTAAACATTCTCCTTAATCTTTCTTACTCTCTCTTGGCAGAATGTACAGGCCAGTTATTTAAAGTGATTCGAAATTACAATCAGACTGAGTTAAATACGACAGCCTTATTGCAAGACAGCAGGCCACAAGCCAACCAACCCCAGCCAGCCAACTAACCAACCCGACAACCAGCCAAAAGCCTTGGAACTTACCTTCCGCTTTAGGGGGTACCACTTCAACTGTGTATTCTGCTTGTCATCCCAGTCCCATGTCTCCAGGTCAAGCTCCACCTCCCCGAGGAAGCTGTTCCGCTTAAACGTGTCCCGGTGCCAGACGGACAGATTCAGCTTCTGTGTCTTTAAGATTTGTTTTTCAACTTTATACTGCAGTTCAAAGAGGAAAATTAAAATGATGACTAACATTCCCTGACGCCAGCCTATGACACAGAGATGGGAAGTCAGCCGTGCAGATCCGACGTTCTCCTCGTCCGTTAGGTTTCACGTCACCCAAATGTTGCAAAGTCACCTTATTCTAAGTGTCCTGTTTCTAAGAGCTAAAATCCACCTTTCATAAAAGCTGACGTTCTTTCCTCTCTGGAAAAGCAGAGCCGGGCTCAAATATCCTAGTGGGTAGTGGTTTTCTAAAAAGCCAATCATTCAATTTTGCTGGGTATTTTTAGACTAGACGTAACAGACATCAAACTCACTCTAAAAAGACAATCAAGTTTACTCCCGTTCTGTTTGCTACCTGGGGATAAGGTACTTTTAAAAAACATATTTGTTCCTTAGGGTATTCTTAGGTTCACAGCCAAGCCGAGTGGAGAGCGCAGCGTCCCCACACACCACCTCACCCATGTGGGCGCTTTTCACCGGCAACACCCCACAAGGACAAGATGACTTTCAAAAGACAGATAAGGGGCCAGGGAGATGGCTCAGTAGAATAAGTGCTTGCCTGGCAAGCGCAAGGGCCTGAGTTCAATCCCGGTTCTACAAAAAAAAAAAAAAAACCCCGAAAACATAAACTTATTTTTTTCCAGCCTCACATGGTCAAGCAGACAAGGTTTGGTATTCTAAAGTTTTTCATCTCAAATACAGTCAAACCTTGATTATATGTAATCATGGAAGGAATAATAGTACTTCTAAAAGTAACCTCCATCTGGCTTTATGACCTACTGCTTCAATGTCCATGTTGGTGGCAGTAAACCTGCCTTTCTCTGAGTCTACCAAGTAAATTAGCTGGCTTTTCCTGAGTATAGGGTTGAAGTAGCTGACCCAGAAATAGCCTGAGTACCGGGGTATGTCATAGTCAAATGATAATTAAAAACTGGCTACAGAAGCCAGACATGGTAGCACACGCCTGTAATTCCAGCACTTGGGAGTCTGAGTGTGGAGGACTGCCATGAGTTCAAGACCAGCCTGGACTATGCAGTGAGTTCAAGCCCAGTCTACACTATAAAGCAAGATTTTGCCACAAAAACTTGCTATAGAAAATCCACAAGTAGGGGGACAACCTGCGTGGGCCCCCCTTCTGTCTCTGTCTTGGTTTTTTTTTTGTGGAACCAGGGATTGAACTCAGATTCTTGGACAGAAGCTTTCTTTCCCCCAGTAAATATTTTCTACTCTTAAGAAAAAGAAAAGAAAATCCGCAAGTCCCTAATCTAGCCGGGGATGATTGCGAGTTCTTTTCACTGTGTCTTCTTTTCCCAAAGGATAATCAAAAATTTAAGAGTTTTCATAAAGATACAAAAAATAATATTTCTTATATTTTTAGTTAAAACTAAAAAACTTTTTTTAAAATTATTTATTTATTTATCTATTTATTTATTGTGTGTGTGTGGGGGGCCAGCTCAGCCCACCAGGGGGCGGGGCTGGCTGGCATGTGGTGCTGGGGGATCGAACTGCGGTCCCTGTGCTTTGCTCAGCTTCACTTGTTGTAAGTAGGTGCTCCAGACCACCGAGCCATCCCACCAGCCCCCAAAACTAAAAATTTTTAAATGATCTATTAATCACCACAGAGCAAGCATAATCCAGTTCGGAGGAGGAAGAGAAAAAAGAACGTGGGTACCTGCATGAGGCATATTTTCCATTCACCTGCCCATACGTCACTCCTTCCAGTAATAGTTTTTGGTCCTTATCCTGCACACGGTACCACTGATCAATGTTTATTACGTGTTTACTGTGTGCCAGTCACTCACTCATTTACTCCTCTGCTGTCCACAACTGCTGAAGTAGGTAACTACTATTATTTCCCTTTTTCAGATCCCGAAACTGTCACTTTCCCCTTTCAGGTCTGAGGTTCAGACATGCCATTTGCACAGAGGGATGGTGTATGTACATCACAGCATTGGTCCCTGCCCTCAGGGTTCTTGAAATTTAGTGTCAAGGTAGAAAATTAAATGAAATAGTCTAGTGCTGAGTGTTAGAACAAGCTCGGGTAAAGCAATGTCATTAAAGCTATTAAGAGCAAGCTCTAAGAAAAAGCATTGAAGAGTGTCTAAGAGCTGGTTAGAGAAAGAATGTGCAGAACACTACCACAGCCTCAGGGAACAGAAAGGAACTCCGGTGAAAGAAAATGTACTTTCAAGGGCTGGCCAGACAGCTCAGCAGATTAAAGCACCTGCTTAGGCAGACTGCAGCGGCCGAATCCTGGCATGCTGTGCTGGCTCCACCCAGGGGCGCACTGAGATTGAGCATGGTGGTGCGAGCCTGTAATCCCAGCTCTTGGGAGGCTCAAAACAGTGTGAGTCCAATCTGTGTAGCGTGACCCTGTACTAAATACATTTAAAAAAAGAAAAGAAAACTTACTTTCTTCAAAGTACAGAAGGGAATATAGGATGACCAGAAAAAAGATTTTTTTTTTTCTTTTTGCAGGACCGGGAATTGAACTCAGGACCTTGGACTTGTCAGGCAGGCATTTATGCCACTGAGCTATCTCCTCCGCCCTTTAGAAAATGGATTCTGAGAGAAAGAAGGTGAGGATGGAGATTAGGTTGTACAGGGTCTGTGCATGTTCTAAAGGATGAATGTGAAAGATTTTAAGCAGAAAAATAGTGATCAGAATTGTGTCGTGGAAGAGAATTCTGCTTGTGACAGACACATTAGCCACGGTACCTCCTCAAGCAAATGTACTTATTTCTGTGAGCTTCATTCAGCAGTCTGTGACATGTAGCTTCATTGTATGTGCATGACATGTAGGTGATAGCTGCCAGCAGGCAGGGTGCGGGGAACGCGGAGAGCGTGTGTGTACCTTCATCCGTACCGCCTCACACAAAGCACATTCTCGGGAAACACTCATTCCTTTCCGTTTTCTCCCTTGGAGAGTGCCTGTGTAGATACGACCCTAGAAGACACAGCTACCCCAACCCACAGCTCGCATCGAGGATTTTCCTGTGTAGAGAACTGATGGATACCCGCAGAATCTCGTTAAACACAGGGTTCAAGGTTTTCTTCACCACAAGCGTTTTCTTCTTGCCCATTTTGCCTTTGTCTGGTAACAAGTAGGTCTTCACATATCTAAAAGAGAGATGCAAACAGACGAGAAGTTCAGAGAGTATAAAAGCAATGTTCCTTCCTCTATTTCTTCTTTTTTTTTTTTTGTGGCAGAACCGGGGATTGAACTCAGGCCCTTGCACTTGCCAGGCAAGAGCTTATTCTACTGAGCCATCTCCCAACCGCATCTTCTGTTTTTAAAAACACACTGAAAACTGACCACAGCAATTATTTCACAACATTGTAAAAAGCAGTAATTAGCAAATGTTCCCACTAACACCTTTATACTTTTAACCTTTAAAGAGATTTTAGTGGAATGAATCACTTAGCATTGTTCTGAAGATTTTTAAAGCAAATTTCCTGAATTCGTTGCTTTCCTTTGGCCTGAGTATGTGTGTAAGGGGCGGGGGCAAATTTCTAACAGCGTTTAAATCTGTTGGTTTATTTCTTATTGAGGAAAGGCTTTGGTGCTTGTAGTTTTATTAAAGTGTTTGTTACTGAAAAAAAAAAACATCAGTCTTGGCACACATTTAATCAAGCCATGGTTGATGCAAAACTTTTTTTAAAAAAAGAATGTTAATCTGTCTTTGTATCTGATTTTTGTTCTTAATTTTCAAAATAAAATAAAATTATCTATCTATCTATCTATCTATCTATCTATCTATCTATCTATCTATCTACCTATCTATCTATGAATGACATTAAGCAAAAAGCTTTGGGTTTGACATAGCACAATAATTAAAAATCACACTTCCCTCCAACTTTTTTTTTGCCAGCTCCTTTATTTATTTATTTTTTGCCATAATTTTATTGATAAACAAATAGCAATGAGACAGTTTCAAATCAAATCGGTAGGACAGTTTCAATAATTAATGCACTGCATACATTCTTCTTAGTGGTTAATTGCTGTACAAGATGCGGACTTGAGATCCTATTTACAAACACCATTAGAACAAATCACTCTATTCATTAAGAGAATGTAACTATATATCTATCCTAACCACTTTGAATACACAGATACAAAATGGACATTCATCTGTATACCCTTTTTTTGTTAAGTTCCGTTATTTGAATATTATGGGTGTGTAAACTCAGCAAAATATTCTAAAAGAGTCCAGTAGCCCATAATAGTATTGGGTCTTCCGCTTAACTAGCAATGTCAGAAATTGTAGACCTGAGTCCCCTATAGCTCAACATAACAGCATGGCTTTACTTCTCATATTTCATTTTTATACTTTTCTACTGGATGGTTAAGACCAAGGTAAAGCAAGACCTATGCAACAAGAGTTGTAGCTTTCAGGTCTGATAAGGTCAGTGAAATCCCCTCAGGATTTATCCTGAGATCCTGTACCTCAGATTGTAGAACCTTTGTCAGTGTCAGCCATGTGGATGAGTCACAGCCATTGCTTGGCCAATGTGCTCTCTGTGAAAGCCTGAGAGAATGTTTTCTCTCCATGTGACTCTCCCCAGCACACTCTACATCATCGATCACTTTCCTCTTTGGCCCCATAATCTCCTTGATCAGAAAATTTGGGACACTGCTGAGTTACATGACGTTACAGTACAAGTTCTCATATGTCCTGAGTCTTAATTGACCTTGGAAGGCTAGGGCCAAAATGTTGGCTTTCCTTGCAGCCCTCCTTTTTCTCTAATTTTGGTCTGCAAATCCTCCAACTTTTTATTCATTTATTTACTTATTTGCGGTACTGGGGATTGAACTCAGGACCTTGTGCTTGCCAGGCAAGCACTTATTCTACTGAGCTATCTCCCCAGGCCCCTCAACTTTTTAAATATTCCTCTTCACACTGTGGGTCACACAGACCCACAGACCCTGTCTTTGATTACTTTCTTTCCTTTCTACTTCCTATTGGATTAATAGTTTCAAACTGAAAGAAAGTAGGTGCTGTAACTCCAAAAGGTACTCACGGGTCTGAACGCTGTTTTTTAACGTCTGCTGCGGCTAAGTTCTTACACTGGGCCACAAACACGTGCAGCTCCTTCAGTGCCTCTGTGTAGTCCAGCGCAAACTGAATGCTTCCTTTCACTTCCAGGTTGCCGAAGTCTCCGCTGTAAACACTCATCACACTGCCACTCACCTGAAAGCATCAGAAATGCGGGGTCTGGCTCAGCAACATTCTTGACCCCCAGCACGAGGGTCACAGACACCACCCTCACTCAGCATTATTTCTCTACCTTGTATACAAAACCAGCCGGTTGCCTATGGGATGAGGATATTAACACGGACAACGATCTATATCACTAGGGATTTTTAAAAAATTGCTCTCAAAAGACAGAGGTCAAAAGGGAAATGCAAGGTTATTTCGATGCTGACTCATTCAAAACAGTGATTTTATGGTGGGTGGCGTTCACAGTTCCATTTTTAGGCATGCATGGCATTTAAAATGCTAAAGAAAGAGAATATGAGAAACCTCAGGCACACAAATCACAGGGACAAATAGCTTAACTTTCCAGGGCAGTAGAGAGGAATTCTACCACATTACTCATTCTTTCAATCTAGAGAGATGCTTACAGAGCCATGCACTTCCGGGGGCCCAGGAGGGTAGAAAGTGGATGATTGATGAAGGGTGCTTAGAGCCTCCCAAGGGCATAGGTTAGATTATCAGCAGAAGGTCAATTGAAATAGATTTTTTAAAAAGGTTTCAGAAATGCAAGGCTGGTCAGAATCTAAGCCCAGCATCACTTGCTTAGTGTACTTGATGCTGTGCATATCAGGAAAATATTTAGCTAAGTGTGCATCAAGACACACGTGTGTAATTTCTACACACACACTACACACGCACATACCTCCCACACTTTGTGCAAGAAGCTCCATGTAGAGTCAATACTCTTAAATCAAACTTGAGCAACTATACTTAGGGAAATCCCCTTTTAAAACCTTGTTTGGTATCTTGCTGTAAGGCAAAGATTCACCTTTCCTATTCTTTAATATGAATCAGTAAGTTTATTCAAACAGTTTATTAGAGAAGACAGTATATTAAAATGAATCTGATTTAAAGAGATTTTATAATAGCTACTCCATCTTTAAAACTTTATTCTAATCTTTTATTTATTTACTTATTTATTTGGTACAGTCTCGCTACACAGCTCAGATTTGTAGCGATCCTCCTGTGTCTCAGTCTCCCCAGTGCTGAGATTACAGGCATGCACCACCACGCCCGGTTTTGGCGGCCACCGTATGCCTGGGATTCCAGGGCCTGCATGGCAGGCAATACCAGGGATTGAACCCAGGTCCTTGTGCTTGCCAGGCAGGTGCTTAGACCACTGAGTTCTCTTCCCAGCCCTACTCCATTTATTTTATTTTTATTTATTTATTTATTTATTTATTTTGACAACTCATACAGAATTTTACTTAACAAAGTAATATGAATTTCACAGTATTTGTTGTAATACATGGTATTGTCTTACAATCAGCTATTCATATTACCGGATATATACACATAAAATTGGAAGAAGAAACATTTATTTTATTTTATTTTTTTTGGGGGGGGGTGGAACCAGGGATTGAACTCAGGCCCTTGCGCTTGCCAGGGAAGCGCTTAATCCATTGAGCCATCTCCCGGGCCCCCATTTATTTTAAAGAAAATTTTAGTGATACATCTTGCTGGCAGTTTAAATTTATTTCTAAAGTGCAGTACTTATCTCCAAAATTTTTTTATTCATAATAATGAATAGGAAAGTCCTTATTTTTAAAAAAGTTCAGTTCACCCGATGCTGATTATGAATTAGAGAACATGCTTGTGCCCGGGAGTCTGAGAATGACAAGGGGGGCCACCTGACCATCAGCAGAAGCGTGGCAAAGAGCGGTTTAGAGCAGTGGAAAGAGATTAACACGGGCCAGTGTTTACATACAGAAGACAAGGACGTCATGCCAGAGGAGCTGCTAAGATTGGTTAGAGAGCTCGGGCTCTTCTTGTGTCTGCTGAGCTGGTAACTGCTTTCTGATGCTGTATCTGTTTCTCTGTCATCACTCTACAAAACAGCATATAATACGCACAGGATTTAAAGTCAGAATGAGTCAAAGTCAGCATCTATATTTAGACAAAGATGATATCTTGGTACCCACTGTTCTACGACATTTCCCAAGGTCAAAGGACACTCATGCTAATTACCAAAGAGAGGGACCTGGGATGACGTGAGTGGTCTGCACTGGATCTGCCGCGAGGAGGAGGCAGCGCTTAGTGACCAGAAGAACAAGGTTTTCTACCTGCAGCACGGCTCCAAGGCGCTACAGAAGACAGTGCCACAGTGAGCTTTGCTGGCTTCTTTTTTAATATCATGTATTTTACGTGTGTGTGTGTGTGTGTGTGTGTGTGTGTGTGTGTGTTAGGAAAAATTACTCAGATAGCAAAAAGTTTAGATATCTTGGCAAGAGGCCGGGGAGATAGCTCAGTAGAGTAAGTGCTTGCCTGGCAAGCACAGGGTCCTGAGTTCAGTGCCCGGTACTGAAAAAAAAAAAAACCTTGGCAAAACAAAATATCATACTTAACTTCCCTCATTATTATCATAGCTCTAGCTTCCCTAAAAAAATCAGATCTCTTATTTGGGATACTATCTTTTTTTTTTTCAAATTTTAGGGAAGGGTTTACAGGGTGTTCAGGGTCTCACTACTAGATCGGACTTGTAGCAATCCACCTGTTTACAGGCTCCCAAGACCTGGGATCACAGGCATGTGCCACCACACCCAGTCTCAATAGCCATCTCAGCACGCCCCGGGGACAGGGCCAGGGAATTGAACCCCTTGTGCCTGCTTGCAGGCACTTTAATCTGCTGAGCTATTTGGCCTGCCCTTGGGATACTATTAAGCTAGGAAAAGGAAAAGTCTCATCTGTCTCAACTACATATATGTGCAGTCTTTTAAATTTTAAACTATTCTTTCTGTATTCCTGTAACATTAGTGTGCTTGCCTTTTAGGTGCTGTAGGAAAGTATGTTAAATTACACATTCTACCCACGTTAAATTTTAACATACTTCTTTACCATGTAAAAAGCAATGAGAGATTTATTTTAAACATGTGCCAAGAAATGTCTACCTGGGACAAGAAAGAAAAGTCACAGTGACAAATTTTACTGTGTTATGTCTACAGCTTATTGGATGGCAACCCACCAAATTCAAGATTCACAGTGAGCTCCCTTAGGGTTAGTGTCTGGCTTCGAGGGTCACAGAGGGGTCGTTAGTTCATGCCAACACATCCCACGACCATGCAATTATGCATCAATATCATGGATGGCAATTCTAGTGCAGGTGAATAAAGGAGTTCAAGAAAAACAAAATTAATGGCTTGCATGGGTGACAAAAGAATCTTTTTCCAAGGATTAAAAGAAGTCCAGAGCTGTTAAAGACTCCCACATGCTTAACAATCCACTTCCCGTGCTTTAGCACATTAGCATATCAATCATTACTGATTATTTTTTAATTTTTATTTATTTATTTTTTCTGTATTTTACAGAAGGGTCTACAAGGCATTCAGGGTCTCACTACTAGATTAGACTTGTAGCGATTCTCCTGTTTCCAGCCTCCCAAGTGCTGGAATTACAGGCATGTACCACTATGCCCAGTCTCAGTCACTGTCTCAGTGCACCCTGGGGGTGGAGCCAGCACAGCAGGCCCAGGGATCGAACCCCTGGCCCAGTCCCTGCTTGCAGGCACTTTAATCCACTGAGCTATTTGGCCGAACCATTAGTGACTTTAAAAAAAAAAAAATTATTTATTTATTTATTTATTTATTTTGTGTGTGTGTGTGTGTGTGTGTGTGTGGCCAGCTCAGCCCACCAGGGGGTGGGGCAGGCTGGCATGTGGTGCTGGGGGATTGAACTGCGGTCCCTGTGCTTTGTTTAGCTTAGTTTGTTCTAAGTAGGTGCTTTAGACCACTGAGCCATCTCACCAGCCCCACATTAGTGACTTTTTAGAAGGACATGATTCTGTCTTGTCAACCTGGAACAGTGGTTTTATGTCACTGGTGCTCAACAAATATAAGTAATGCTCTCTCAAGTGGACAATGGACAAAGGAGCGAGACCTGATTTCATCCCCACATCATTTATCATCCAGTTCAACCTCTGCACTTTGACAGGTAAAATGATACATTGCAATACTGGTGTCTCTGATACACAAACCCAAGTAATCTGAACTTTCTTCTGTGCAGGCTAAAATTCAATGGAGAAGAAAAATGTAAAAACTAGAAATTGATATCATTACATGGTTCATTCTATGATCACCCAAGACCAAAACAGAGATACAAAGGTATAAAACCACAGAAACTCCACAGGGTGGCTGCTATTGCCTTCTGGCTGATGAGTTAGTTCCAAAACTGAGAGGTTCATTGCAAATGAAACTATAACATGAGATCTTAAATATATGCAAAGTCTGAATATTTGCAGATACAGCTCATCAAAGGTCCAACAGCCTGCAGAAGGTCATCAGGATGGAGAAATTTGGTTTTTATATGTTACCCAGAGTTCCTCTCATGTTCTATATGCTAAAAGAATTCTTGGCGGCTGGTGAGATAGCTCAGCAGATGAAAGCACTTGCTTAGGTAAGCACAGGGACCAGTGTTCGATCCCCAGCACCACATGCTACACCAGACCTGCACTGAGCCAGTCACCAACATGGGGCATGGTAGCGCATGCCTGTAATCCCAGTGCTGGGACAACCGAAACAGGAGGATAACTATGTGTCTGAGCTGCATAGTGAGACCCTGTACCAAATACATAAATTAAAAATACATAAATAAATAAAGGAATTCCTAAGAATGTTTCTATTTCATAGCAGTTAGCATTTTTAATGGATACTCACTTGGCTTTAGGCACTATGCTATGTGTTGACTTACTGTTCCCTACAACCTCACTACGTGGGTACTAGTGATGGGGCAAAAGAGACTCCATTATAAGGGAGGGTCTCTTAAGTTCACTTAAACTATGGACAAACTCACTCCCTCACCCCCTCCTATGTAGCTAGCCATAAACCCACTTAGAATTAACCAGGGTCATAAAATAGGAACAAATAGTTATAACAACTTGGTGACTAGGGCAAACATTAAACCACACCGTCCCAAGATAGGCAGATGGTCAGCGGTGTCTGGGAAATGTAAACCTTGTGGCAATTGTGTGAAATTCTTGTAAAATTCCTGTACAATTAAATTACACAATAAATATAAAGTCCCTGGCACCCAGTAGACACTCTTTAAAGCTTGCTGTGTCATTGTTACTTTTTGCTTTAACAAAGGTTTTCAAGGTAGTCATGCTACCTAGATTAAGCTTTTCTTTTCTTTTTTCTTTTTTTTCTTTTTTTTTTTTTTTTGGCAGAACCGGGGATTGAACTCGGATCCTTGTGTTTGCCAGTCAAGCGCTTATCCTACTGAGCCATCTCTCCGGCCCCTACATTAAGCTTTTCCAAACCAACTCAAGGCTACAGAGGGATAGTTAATTCATGCCAACATATTTCTTCTTGTATTTCTCACTTTGTACTGACTTTGAAACAAAAATCACATTCCAAAATCTATGCAATCTGACTTCACTGACCAAAAAAAGACTTATTGTTTGAGTCAAATGAGACGTGTCTTGTGTTTCAGGATCAACAACACTCTATTGGCTTGGAAGGTAAGGCTCAATCTTGTATGGGTCTTTAGTATAGGGGAACACAAACACACTGATCTGGGCAGAGCAAGAACACAGGATCCATCTATCACCCTCCAGTCTGTCTGTCTGTCCAACTCTATCTTGAACAAAGATCTTGCTACGTAGTCCAGGTCAGCCTTTAACTCACTATGTAGCCCTTGCTAGCCTTGACATAGCAGTAATCCTCCTGCTTCAGTCTCCCAAGTACTGGGATTGCAGATCTGCACCATTATGACCACTGGCTCCATTTTTCTAAAGGTACAAAAGACAAACTTGCCTCATCTTGAGGAAATGCTGGAACAGACTTGCTCATCCTTTTGAGTTTACCAAGGTGGGAAAACTGATTCTCAGGTTGTGAAGGCACTGTAGAAACTAAACAGCAACGTTTCAATTTCAAAATTATTCTTCCAAATTTCAGGCATTAGGCATAAACTGAGTATACTTTTCTTGCATCTCTGAATAGACACGTTTTATAAAAGGTTAAAGGCACAGAAGTTTACATGCACAGTGTCATGAGGTAAGCAGCATGCAGATTTTATAAACTACGTACAGAGAGATCTAGCAAGGAGTTGAACCAAATAAAAATTAATTTAAACAATACTAGTCCTTATTAAATTAGAGCTGGACTTATATTACATTAAAAGTCTATCAATGTGAACTGGTTTTACTTTTTTACACATTGGAGTTTTGAATGCTGAGCTCTATATTTATTGGTTCATCTCCTTGAGATGTATTAATGTGCTGCAAGCTAAAAAACGATTTCATCTGGATAGTCAGGGTCTTGGTACACAGTTCAACAAAAGTCTCCTTGACTAATGCATGCTAGTGAGCAGGTTTACCCATTTGACGGTCAGGAGGCCCGCTTTTCTGACAGTGTTTCTCTTTTGGAATTACAAAAGGGTATAACTGAAAAATTATTTTTTAAACTATAAATCATTTAGGTACCTTTTAAAAAGAGAGTTGTCAATATCCCAAGGTGAAGTTTACATGGTTTCAGATAGAATAATTTAGGAACTTAACATGAAAACATAGTATACACAGTATCTTCTTTCTAACATAGTAAGTAGAAGACACCATAAAAAGATGACTTAGAATTTTCATTTGCATATCTCTAGTTAGAAAACTTTTTTTCTATGAATCCAAATGTCCAAGCTTTTCTTGTGTTGAATCATAGCTCTTCAGACCCAGTCCTAGCCCAGGTCCGGTGAGTGTGTGGAGAGCTTCCTGCTACCCTGCGCTGGCAGGACCAGTCCCAGCCCAGGCGCAGCGTGGGCCGGACCCTCTCCCATCCCCTCGGGCCGCCCCACACCACTCTGCCCTACGTCCCCACCCCTCCCGCCGAGTATGAATCATAGCTCTTCTAGTGAAAGTTAGCATTTCTTAAAACAGAAAAATACCCAATGTAATAGGCTGTGTGTTTTTTAAATAATTGAATAAAAAGTTAAATATTACTGCATGGAGAAATATTTAAATTATACTGTGAGCACAATATACATATATTAACTTGCCTTTATCATTAAAAGATACTAGGAAAATAGATAAAAGTCAAACTATATATCTGTGTATAACAGAGAAGACTGAAATTTCTCCCTTGACATTAACTATATTCATTTTAACTTAAAGAAATCTAAGGAAAGAAATTTGAGCTACATACTCTAAATACAATTTTCAGGCAACAGGCAGAAATTGAAAACACACTTTTCTTTCATGTACATACAAACATGTTTTATAAAAAGTTTAAAGGCCCAGTGATTCACGTGCACAGCGTCTGTCACTTAGCTTGCATGTGCTCCAAAATCTACTCAAAAGTCTCATAGCATACCTACTTCACTTCTTCATTTTTAGTGAACAATTGTGTGTGTGTGTGTGTGTGTGTGTGTGTGTGTACTAGAGTGAGCTATACTCGTACTAGTGTAAAACTATGTCACATAGTATGGTCCAGTGAGAATAAAAACTTCTTGTTACAGCCTTTTATTATTTTCCAAGTATATTATTGGATGACAGTATGCAAGTCAAATTCAGTTCTACCCACTACTCAAATGTAGTCAATCTTACATTTGTGAGCTTATTTATAGTTTGATTATAATTTTGGTTTTGTGTTACAGTAAGAATATATTCTTTACTAAAAAGACACTAAGAATCATTTTGGAAATCATTAAAAAGAGAAATTAATTCACTGAGTTTAGCCCAGAATTGGTCGACTTGTCTTGACCAGTAACTGCCTAAGCCAGTCAGGAGGCATGAATAAGATACAGCCATCTAGGCACATGGTTACGTAAGGCTTTCTTTCACTCCTCAGGCTAAATGTGGAATAAAACAGCAAGACAAATCCAGACGCCCAAGCTTGAGCATATCCCAGTTCAAAAGCAACAGGAAAAGCCTGGTTATCGCCCCTTTCTTAGAGGCAGAAGTCTTCTGCTGTCTGCACCAGGGGTACTCACGGGGCCAGGCCTGAAGCGGCTTCTTTCCTAGGCAGCTCTTAAGAATCTGTCAAGTCATGTGCCAAAGCTCAGCACCTTCACCCGCTGGCAGGAAGCACCATGAACAAAGTCTCCGATTTCATACTAGATGTCGCTGACTTCTTGCATCAGCACATTGTTTATCTAACGACTCCTTCATGTGGCTGTTTACCCCTTTAAGGCCTAACAGCACATCTGAAGACTGTCAGGGGATTATTATTAAAAACACTGTGGAACTGAGGGTGGGCACAGTGTGTATGTCACTGTCTTCATACCTCTAATGTCTAGGCTTAGGAAGGTGACTGAAACTAGGGAGCTAGAAATCACCCACAGATCTGCATGCTTTTCTGGGCCCCACAGCATTTTAAACATCATTTGTCCTTAAAGCAACAGTCACAGCTAAGGAATCTAAAGATTGAACAGAAAAGAGGGAACAAATAATATCTTTGCATGCTGGTAGACGTTCATTAGTCTTCGTCACCACAGATAGACATTTATTTCTTAGATGCAGATTTTCACATGCCTTTTATGTTGAATATTTGCTGTGAGGATCTTGCTTTCACCCTCAGAGTATAAATCTAAGACATAAAATTTGCTTTCCTAGATACGTAGAGAGTCAAATACAACCATATTACATTTACCAAAATACACTTACTTCTTGGGTCCAGTTAAATTGAACATTATAAGTTGCTTCGTGGCTACAAGCTTATATACAGGATCCAATACTCAAGGCCTTACTACAACACGAAAGCCAAATGAAATCATAAGATGCCAACTTAATTTTTAGCAGACATACACAAAGAGCAGAGACTGACAAAAGTCAATAATACTCACAAACAGCAATATCAACATAATACATATTTTTAAAATATTTAACTGTCCCTCAGTAGAACCATGAATTTTTTTTTTACATACACAGCATCAAATGTTTTAATAAACCCTAATCAGAATGAAATAGTTTTGCAAGCTGCAGAAGTTTAGCAATGATAAGTGCTGCATTATTAATGGGTTAGTTCTTTCAGTATATTTAACACTAGGCAAATAGAACATTTAGTCATTTTGAGAAAAATCCTGCTACTCACTTCCTGGTATGCATTCATTTGCGTCTGGTTCCTGATCTGCTTTTTGATCTACTAAGAAGAGTGACATTGAGAATAAATACCATTTTAACAGAAGGATTAGACAGACGTGAAAGTCAACTCAAAGGTCAGTTCCACAACTAAAACTGCAGAATCAACCAGACAGATTTTCAGTTTGCTTTCGCCCTTATCCCAGTGTGACTCTTCACTAGTCTTTTAAGGTCTCCCACTCAACTAAAACCTGGATCACAGGAGACGCGCAAGCTCCGTCCCTTCGCATACTAAACCACAGCCCTGAAATTGAGCACAAAGCTGAGATTCTTTTCCATGCACTCCCACTACCTGACTGGTCACAAAATCTTAGAAAATCATCAAACGTTCCTCAACTTTTCTTATTGAAAAATGATGAAAATCTCATCCCTCTTACTTCAATAATGTTCTTCTAGAATGAGAAAGACAAAACTACTCCCTAAAAGTAAAGACTTTGAAAGGGTTCTGTCATGACATTCTGTATAGGACATCTCAATGAATATCATTTTTATGATTACAGTGAAAGCCACTTAGAAAAATTAAAAAACAGCATGCACATATAAATTATTCATTTGCATAAATCCTCAACTCTAACAGTTGGACATTCCTCCATCCCTCACCCCACCAACCCCTATAACCCTAGTCTTTTAAAACATGAAGCAAGTAATACACAATCTATTGACAACCTTAAAGACCTTTCAGCTCCTTATATTCAGAATCAATTAATGTCACCCTAAGTTATCTGTATAAGCAGAGGCAGGACTCCCCCACTCCTAGGACCTGTCTCCTTCAAAGGCTTTACTGGTTGTTCCCAGTGATCTAAGTGCTGATCCTTAAGAATTAAACACAGAAATGACTTAACCCAGGAACCCTTCTAGTCTTCCTTCCTCCAAAAGGAGCTCTGCAAGTCGAAGTGGTAAACATCAGCTCATACCCATAGAAATACAATTTCCTATTTATAGAAATTCTTGCTTCCCCAGGGTCTCTAGTGAGATCCTCGCAGTAGTATCACCAGCAGTCTTAAAAACACACACGCTATTTAATGCACCAAGTCAGGGCAGTTTTTATAGTAACTTAGGCACTGCTGGCCACAGAGTGGCAAATGAGGGTCTATTTGTTCAACAGCTGCATCCCAGTGACTGCTCACACAGCCCAGGCAGAACTTAACACACAGACTGACATGCAAACACATAAAGATATTTACCATCTTCAGCACTACGTACTAATTCTTCTGGCAGATTATCTACTTTTGCTTGATCTGTTCAGGAGAAAGTAACAAATGGTTAACATGGCTGAGCCGTGGAGAGAAAAGAACAATGAGATTGTCTCTGTGAGCTCCCAGGGTTGGAAGCAATTAGTCAAGATGCAGTGAGGGGTGCAGCCACGATGTCTTCCCCCAAATTCTTTCTCTGTAGATCAGCTACTTGAGCGAGGGCCCTAGCAGGAGCTCCCATTTCAGCCTCGATGCAGCTCACATGAGGACTGCTGCACGCTGCCTCCCAAGGGTTAGAGGGTTAGCTCAGAGCAAGCGATCTGCTGGCAATGGGAGAAAGCACGACGAGGCTGCTAACAGCCTCGCTATTCTTCTGGAACGGGCGCGATGCTAGCATGACTAACACCTTCCCAAACCTATGGTCATGAACAGATATTTGTGCGAGTGCATCATCGATTGCGTATGCCTCTGGGAGGCTTGCTTGGGAAGGCAACTGAAGAGATGGAGCTGGGGACCAGCTGCTAAGTGGAATCTTGGCAGGCTAGCCTGAGAGTGGGTATTTGAAAGGGAGCGTGCAGGAATACTCGTCAGCTGATAGTGATTTTTTTTTTAACCCTCCACATTCCTGAATACTTTAAAGCTACACTATGGAAATAGCTCTGTGCTTCACAGGCAAGGGATTTGCTAAACCCAGTATAGTTGCTGAGGTTTTCTTTTGCCACAGGCTCATCACTGACCTAAGAAAGAACAACCAGGCCTGTCCAACAAAGCACTAGACTTGCCTTCTCGGGAAGCATTCAGGGAGAGGTGGGAGCAAGCCACCTGCTGAGGAGGGTCTGGAGGAGTCTTGCATTGGGGAAGGCTGAAATAGGTGACCTTCAAGGTCCCTCCATCACTAAGATTTGAAGCTTCTTGGAAGGGTTAGGATGGCTCTGAATATTGCCTTTAGAACCCTGGAAACCTGACAACTTCAGGAACTGTTAGGTGAAGTCGCTCTCAAACTTTTTCTTTTTAAACTCTTAACTTTTCAGTCTCAATTGCAGATGCCTAAAAACTATTTTAAACCTGAAAATGGCCAATTATCAATCATAAGCTGGGTATGCTGATTAGATTTTACACAGTTTTTCTCATGGCATCGAAATCCCAGCGGTATATTTTAGCTTCAAACGAGTAAGAACAGAATCCCTAGAAGTTGTGGTTTCTAAATCCGTTTGTGCAGCATACAAGTCCCTACATACAATGTGTCTTCTATTAGTAACCAAGAGCTCCTTCACTGATGAAAGCAGTACCCAGTGGGGAAAAGGGTACCTGAACGATTGCGTGTTAGGGAACCCCTCTTCCCCCATTGGTTTTTTGAGACCGGATCTTGCTGTATAGTTCAGGCTGCCCATGAACACACTGCGTAGCTCAGGCTGACACTAAACTTTTGGCAATCTTCCTCCCTCTACCTCCTTTGTGCTGGGATTACAGGCATGAACCACCCAGCCAATGTGTGAACAGAAAACAAGGAATGAGAGAGAATGTGAAATCCCCAAATCCAGATACCAACTCAACACCATATCATAAAAATTTGTTAGACACCCAACACAATTATGTTATAATGTGGTAAATTTATAAATGCTGCTGAAAGCTTTCCATCAATTCAATTCTCAGGTCTGCTGTGTGCTACGAGTAAGCTATTTTACTTGTCTGGCCTTCATTTTCTTTCTTTCTTTCTTTCTTTCTTTCTTTCTTTCTTTCTTTCTTTCTTTCTTTCTTTCTTTCTTTCTTTCTTTCTTTTGCGGAACCGGGGATTGAACTCAGATCCTTGTGTTTGCCAGTCAAGCGCTTAGCCTACTGAGCCATCTCCCCAGCCCCTATTTTCTTTTCATAAAATAACGATAACAATTTTCCTCTCACAGGGTTTTTTGTGTTGGTGAAATGAGACAAAACATGTAAAATTCTCAGGCAATTTTTGCCACGTATTATTCAATAAATGTTACCTAGTACTACTAGTTCTATGGGTACTGCCAGCTACCACAATCCTTTAAAACTCACTATGCTTGAACAACGCTTTGTTTGAGGGAAACCTAGTATTCTAGTAAGCAAACCTCATGCATTCATTTAAGAGCAAAATTCCAGCATGCCTGAGGATGAACCTCTTCAGCACAGCTGGGGAAAGCCATCGCCACCTGCGAACCCTCGCGCTAGGGCTTTCGGCGCGTGGCCACGTGCAGTGAGGCCAGAGCGGGACACACAAGCACTTCTAAGCTGAGGTGAGGCGTGAACAGCAGGGCAAGCTTTGTTCTCACTTGGTGAATCTGGTGAAATGTCTTCTAGACTTTTGGAAGGCATTTTTCTAGCAGCACTCCTTTCCAAGGGTTTCAAAACAGGACGGGGCTCTTCTTCCGAACCTGTTACAAGACAAAACCGATGAATGCTGCACAATACAAAAGAAAAACCCAATCTTCTGATAACTATTGAACTCTGCAATGGTACGTTGAAAAGAGAAAGTATGCCACAGCCTCCCTGCGTGCTCGAAGTACTTCACAAAAGGAAGCAAAATTTCTCCACTGTTAGCACGGCTCTCTAGCTTTGTTGTTGTAGTTGTTTCTTGGTTTTGATGTTGTTGCTTGTGATCTAGCACTGAGCCTCACATATGCTAGTGAGTGCTCTATACCTGAGCTACCTCCCCTACCTTTAATATGTCCTTTAAAACATAATTTACCTGGCCACGAAATAGTTGCAAACATGAACTGTTATAGAAATAAAATCAGCACATTAATCCAAACATGATCTCCTACTGAGCTCTCTTTTAGGCTCATGGTTTCTTTTGCACCACACTTGGAAGGTTCTTCCTTAACATTCTATCTTTTGAAGCAGCCATTAAGTGATTTAAAAAATTTTAAAAATTAGTTGAAGACTATTGAAGGTATAAAAGCAGGATTCAGATGTTTATCTGTGTACAAATGGGTCACAAGTGGATAGCTTCCCCAACTCAAAAGGTGCCGTCTCTCTGGATTTCATGATTCAGTAAAATTTCCAGAAACATTTTGGTAAGTGAATGGATAGTTAAATGTTATTTCACTGAGGCAATTTGAAGGTGATAGGGGGAACCTACCATTTAGCAATACTTTTATTTTATAAAAAAGACATTTTAGAACCAAGAGAAATACAAAGGTGTGATCTCTGAATAATAGTAATTCTTAAACTTTACAGAAAAATTCTCTAAATTGTCCTTAAGTTTTTCATCTTGACAGTGAAAACTTCACCATGCTTAGGTCCTATTCTGAATCTTAACAGTTCTCTCTGTATTCTTGGTGCCTAGCACAGTGATTGGTCATAGACACTTCAAAAATACTTGCAGAGTCAATGAATCATTCAATGAATGAATGAATGTAAGAACCACCTCTCTCAACAATAATTTCCTAATATGTGTTTTAGTTTTGCCTAATGTTAATGTACAATTCACAGCAAATTGATTCTGAGATAAGTTAGACTTGGGGTGTTCTGTGTTTGAATTTAAGAAGTAAACTTTATTTTCACACTACCCTTGCCAGTTTTTTTTTCTTTAAATAATAATTTAGGATGGGGGTATAAAACCATGACTGCAATGTGTTATACATCTTACTTGACTTATAATTTTAAAATACCTTTCTCTCAGCACTGTCTAGCTAATCATTTAATACATTTGAAAGAAAAGCTTTTGTTGTTCCATCACTGATGTTAGTACATCATAAGCATGCCTATTTGAGGGCTGGCGAGATAGCTCAGTGGACTAAGTGACTGCTTAGGCAAGACAGGGACCAGGGTTCGATCCCTGGCACCACATGTCTGTGCCAGCCACCGAGTCTGGGTGTGGTGGCACATGCCTATAACAATGCACGGGGTGGATTGGTAAGGAAATACCTCAAAAGGGTTAATGCACTAGCTTTATGCTTCTGTATGTTTGGTTTCAGATATGTATTTCATTTTTTTCTTTTTTTACCAGCCACATTTGTTAAAATAACTTCAACTAATTAGGATTAGGTTCCTTGGTCAGTGCAGAAGCTACTTGCAAAGGAATTCAAGTCTCCTGAGTCAGCCACCCAGTAAATCTTATCTGGTTTTATCGAGACTGTAGTCAATTAGTTGTGCAACTTTGCTCGTCCAACTTTGGCTAAAGTGTCCAGCCAGAGAGCACCGTCCAGTCTTGCATCACTTGGGTCAGGCAACCTCTCATGCCAAAGCATTCGGGGAGGTTCTCTGCTAAGATGCCAAGCGTTGATCAGAGCAGCAAACTGAGATAAGCCTTTCATGTGTAGGTGGGCCAAAACCGGTACTCACACATGTAGGTGGGCC